AAGCAGTGCAAAAAAAAAAAAAAAAAAAAAAAAAAAAAAAAAGAAAAAAAAAAAAAAAAACTGTTCAAGCAAAACAAAATACATCTGCACTTTCTTGGCAATAATTTACAGGTACAAACTAATGAAAAATACAATTTCACAAAAAAAAATTGTAAACATTTTTTTTGCACACTTGTCAGTCCGTTTTTCTTCTTTTTTGGCAAAGTGCTCTTCTGATGACGAATAAATTAACAAACAACTAAGTTTGGACTAATTCCAGACAGTACAAAAAGGAAAAAAATAAGACACGTGAGAACTTAGTGGCGCTGTAAGCTGAACCCAATAATACTTACATAATGGGAGGGGCAGCGACGTGGTCATCAAAACCGGATGTGCATTTTGTGTGTATGGTGACCCTTTTTTTTACTGAGCGGTACAAGCGTAATGTGTACTTCAGTATGGAAAGTCTATATAAAAATAACTAAATGATCTTAATTATATTTTATACACAAGAAATGACTCCGTTTTACCCAAAGCATTTACATTCTTGGAGGAGGAAAAGTTTATGCGTGACTTATAGGTAGTTGCGCCATGGAGTGAGGCAGCATCGACTGGAGTCCAAGAGCTGACGGTGAGTGAGCTGGAGGGAAAAAAGAAAAATAGTACTTATGATGCTAAAGTTATCAGACATAGTAACTGTGCACTCAAAGTGTTTTAAAAAGACCCAAAATAAAAAAATCTTAAAATGTAGCACAGATTTGGTGAACTCAATTCTGCCTAAAGATTTTAGAAAGTACCACGGTGATGAGAGCTTTTACCAGCAGGTGGCACTCCAGTCCTAAAAAACTGAAAGATTAATAAGGTGCCTGAGAACCACAGGCGCTGGGAGATCGATCAATGATCAATGACCACCGTCTAAACACATGGACAAAATTTAAAACTTGCGCTTCACACCTACATATGGCCAAACAGTATGTGGACATCACCATTACGTCAAGTTCAGGCATTTCCAGTGAAGGGTACGGTTAATACTACAGCATACAAAGACATTTTAGACAATTGTATGCTTCCAACCTTGTGGTAACAGATTGGTGAAGACCCTTTTCTGTTCCAGCATGACTGTGCCCCTTGTATAAAGCTAGCTCCATAAAGACATGATTTGATAACATTGGTGTGGAGAAACTTATGTGGCCTACAGAGAGCCCTTACTTCATCCCTAATGAAACCCTTTGAAATGAATTGGAACGCAGATTGTGAGCCTGATCATAAGTACTTAACCTCACACATGTTCTTTTGGCTGCATGGGCACAAATTTCCACAGGCACTCTAAAATCTTCTAGAAAGCCTTTCCAGCAGACGGAAGGAGGCATCTTCATAGTAATAGCCATGGATTTGGAATTAAGTACAACAAGCTTATATGGATGTGATTGTTGGGCGCCACTGTCTTTTAAGAAAGAACTAGCCTTAAAAAGGAGATACTAATGCCAGAAACAACTCCAGGTTCCCTTTATGCCAAAACTGCAAAAAACTTCTTGGCATCCAATGTGGCTCAAGACCAGATCATGTCTATGGGGATCGTAAACTGTCTTAAATGGGCAAAGGGACAATGTCTCATATTCCAAAGTGACAGCTTCTGCAGAATGCCCTTCCTCAAGGCAGTTATACTTACCGAGCCACACTCCCACACCATCATAGGCCCTGCTAACAAGCTGAGGCTTCTTAATATGAGGGAGCACATGAGGGACAATGCTAGAGTGGCCAATCACCCGACCAAAACATGGTTATGTGGGCTGCCCATGATATAATTCCTCTGTCGCTTCAATACCAGAGCCGGTAAGTGTGGTAGGTATAAAAGCCTGGGCTTTATATGCCACCTGCCTCCTCACTGAACCACACAAAAATAATTGCTGGTCTCCAAGCTTCCTTGCCTTTAACAGCCTGAGCAGGCAGAAGTCAAACAATAAGCTTTGCAATTTTTTTTTAGCAAGCTGCAAATAGCTGGTCTAAAGCCTTTAACTCTTTCCCTGCCAACGACGTAAGGCTTACGGTGGAACACAACCGCATGCAGCTGGCCACATCACTAAGCCTTACGTTGGTGGCTTTCACCCTTCTGCTATAAGCTCATGGTCGCTTTAGAGTTTTGTAAGCCAGGCTCAACATCATTACTAAAAAATTGCTGCCCAATGTATCACCACATACTAAATACCATCAGCAGCTTACCATCCATGTAACTGTGCAGGGCGGTCAGCATGGGCCCATCTTGAGGTACATATGCGGAGTAGGCCATTTCCTCCATCATTGGAGGGGAAAGCCTTGAGGATTGCATGGCTGTAACTGGCGCGGTTGAGGAATGAGTAGGACTAACGTGTTTCTTGTGGCGTGCTCTACAGTTCTGAAACCAGACCTGGAAGAGATGACACCACACAAATATCCATTATCCCAAGCATTTACACATTTCGGCTATTATCACCTCAGGAGGAGAGGGGATATATTCCAGTAAGCAAGAGAGCAAAAGTTAATTTTTCCTCATTTTAGGGAGATTTCCTGTTGTGCCTCTGAAGGCAGGAAGTGCAGGAAAATCTCAAGGATTTGTAACCCTTCAATTCTATACAACCCTCCTTCCTCCCCAGCCAATAAATGCTTTTAAAGTCCATCACAAAGCCTCACCTGTATTACGCGTCTGCTTAGGCCCGTCCTTTCAGACAGTTTCTGTAGTGTCTGTGCATCCGGATTGTTGTCCTGGGCAAACTGTGCTTGCATAACCTAAAAATACATATTATATATACACAAGTCAGTAACCAAAGCTAAATCATGTCAATGGCAGATCACGTACAGCAATAAAGTAAATCATACAAAGAGCTGCAGCAACCCAGAGAGAGAGAGATGCTCCAAATTCAGAGATCATTGACCTCTATGGAGCTCTGTCCCTGCTCGGCAATCAGGAAGTATATCATTTTTTTTATTTTTTTTTAAACAGAAAAAGTAAGATTCAGTCACCTTGTAAATATATTGCCAACATTTAAAGTGTATGTCAAGCTAAAAGCTTTCCTTTCTAGGTTCACGAAGAATTATAACTAGGGATGCACAGTAGAATCGGTATCGATACCGTACTCGATGGGGTGCATGTACTCACCCAAATGCTCAGATACCTTCCACGATACTGGAACTTCTGGTCAGGGGAAAATTTTCTGACCGGCAGTGCCATAGGGGAACATGGAGCCAGCTTCCCAGCCAATCAAGAAGCCAGGAGGTGGGTCATTAATCACCGCCCGGCTTCCTGATTGGCCGGGAAGCCAGTTCTCTGGCCAAACATGGAGCCGGCTTCCCGGGCAATCAGGAAGCTGGACGGCATGTCATTACATGCCGCCCGGCTTCCTGATTGCCTGGGAAAACGGCTCCATGCCAGCGGAATCACTGGTATCGGTACTCGGATCAGCAAGTACCAAAAGCAAAATATCGGTACTCTATACCGCAAAAATGGTATTGGTGCATCCCATATTATAACCACGTTCAGGTTTTTACTGCTATCCAGGGTCCCATTAGAGAGACTTAACCTCACTTCCTGTCGGGTTGACAATTTTCAGATTGGAAGGGAAAATCTGCAACAGGGACACAGACAAATACGATTCCGACAGGGGTTCTAGCCCATCCTCCATTCTACTAAAGAAAAGCAATTTTATTTCTGTTCGTGCCGCCATTGCCTCACTTCTGAGCTAGAAAATTATTTTGATGTCAAACATCTGAAACTCCAAGTTATCACACCGAAGTCCTTGCACCCAGCAACAGTCTATCAAACAGAGCTCCCCAACCCTACTCACCAGCCCCTGCCAAGGGAAACACAATCAACCAAGAAATCTCTTGTTATATCTAAAAGCTGAAATCCAGGCAGATATAAAAGGACAAAAATATTGGTACTCAATACCGAAAAACTGGTATCGGTGTATCCCTAGTATGTACAGCAGTAGATATGCAAGTCTTTGCAAGTTACATTTTTAGTAGCATAATCATGTCCTTAAGCCATTGCAATGAGCAAGCCCATAGATGTCCCAGTGTTTTCTGCACCTATATGGTCCTGTACATACTGGGAATTCCTACAGGTAGATTTTGCACGTATAGTAACTTTTTTGTTTTGCGTTTACTCAATTTCAAAATTAAATTTCCGTTTCGCTAATCAAGCCGATCTCATGACAAATTCTGAAGCTATACTGTAGCTATTTACTGTAACTTGAATTTCCATATTTAAAACTGCAGTTGTGAAAACTCAATATCAAAAGGATCTCAGTAGTTGTGGTCAGCTTACGTTCCACCAAGGTTACCGGCTCAAATCACTTGGAACGTTGTGCAGCACAATTACAGGATTTACATATTTTTTTTACATTAGGTGACAGCTGGAACTTAGGACTTATTCATAGAGCCACGGACACGTCCGCCTGGCTCAGAACAAGAACTTACTTGGAGCTGGTCCGCGGTGAAGCTAGTACGAGCCCTTTTAGCCGGTTTTGGCTGATTAATATCTTGCTCTGTCAACAAAGCCCCTTCCACACTGACACGGTTCCCTGCATGGAGGGGAAAAAAATGAATATTAAACATTTTTTTCTGTATTGCATAATAAAAGCAGAAGGGCAAACAGAGGTCTGCGACACTACAAGATCACACCGATAAGGCTGCCAGTCTAGCATATAGAACAAACTATTTGGTGTGGAGCTACATTTGTAAGAAAGTTTGCTAACACTTTAGGAATCTTCTGGATTTCTGCATTTAAGGCTCCTTGATGTGTGATGACCAACCATGCCACATATGTGAAGTGTTTACTTAAATGCACCCCTACCTACAAATAATTGGACGTGCAATGTGGCCCAACCGTAAGAGGACCTCTTTAAAAGAGTTGTTAAAGGATTCTAAATTACTTGACGTGGACCCTAATCCATAGCCAACTCCAGAAAGACATGTTCGAAAGGCTCTAGGACTAGTCTAGGATATACTTGTACAAATCAGGCAAAAGGAAACGTTAAACAAGCTCACTGGCTCTGGTCAAGCGGCTTGCATAGAACACACTTGCCCTTGATGGATACCTGGAAGAGACTCCGAACCATGCAAGCTCACTGGCTCTGGTAACGAAGCTTGCATACAATGTGGCTTTCCTGGATGGGTAACCGTAAGTGACTCAGAACCAAACAGGTTCACTGGCTCTGGTCAGGCAGCTTACATACAATATGTGCTTTCTTCTAAGGGGACCCTGAAGGCGCACCAAAAACATAGGATGAGAACCCAAAAAGTTTAATAGAGTAAAAAAATTCTATCACATTAACAGCCAATGAGTTTTGAGTTCTGATGAAGAACTGAGAGTTTACCAATTTGGTTCACATATACCCTACACAATCAAGATATTTCAATATAAAATGCTTTATCAGGACTTCATTGAATACAGGCAAAGATCAAAAAGGTTCTGGAAGGTCCACAAACCTTCTCACAACTGCAGTCAGGCATACCTTGCAAGAGCACGCACTGCCCTTATTTTATGAACTATGAAGGATACAAGTGGAAGAGAGATGGGAAATCCAGTCTACCATAACATCAAACTCCATCCATGACAATGTTTGGCATTCTTGAACACCTTTGCCTGTCACACACATGCCGAGGGGCAGAAGTGGGCTGCAGTACTGGTGGTCTCCGGCATGACATGGACAGGAAGAATTTATCATCTAGGACATATAGTAGGCATACTCTTCCGCAACTATGTTTCCAGAAGGAAACATTTGAAGGAGTGTGAATTTTTGCTATTAAAGCATATCTACAGCCGTTTCAGGCTGTTTGATCACCAGTACAGTGTATGAAAACCATGGCTTCTATGGAGTAGGCCTTGGAACCCAACAAGACAGATTAACTTGAAACAAATGTATGCAGTTTGCAATAATCAAATCTATAATATTGGGTTATATTTGCACTATACATCAGCAGTTCTGGATGGACATTAAAGAATGGACTTCCATGGCTCCACCCACTGTCCTCAAATTATGAAAAAAATAAAAATGTTTTACTAAGTGATGGAATCCGACATGTCAATTCTTTGTCAGAAAGCTTTAATGTGCTAGGCACTGATTACATAGGAGGGCTTTTTTGTCATTTATAAGTGGTCGCTCTATAGAATAAAAGACCCTTGGGCATATATGTAGCAAACCGTGTAAGATTGGAGTATGGTCTTAAGCACATGGGACTGTGCAGAAGGTTAAAGGAGAATTATGGGGTATACCGCTTTATGCATTTTTTGTTTCCTTATGATACAGGAATACATTTTGCAATGTACTACTAATACAAAATGCTTCATAAGCTTAAAATACAATTAAATACTGTGGGCGGGGCCAAGCTCTATGCTGAGAAGCAATCCAAACAATATCGTCGGGATCCACCCCTCCCAATGAGTGACAGCAGGTTGTAGAAGCTGCTGTGCGTTCTTGAGAACCTTTGCAGGTGCAGCAGCTTTGGGCACATCCTATCAGAGATTATCCATGGCAGGTCAGATGTCTATGAACACTAGCACATCTATCCTCCTCTAATCCTGTTCTAGATTACCCAAAATCTGTGATTTTCTTTCAGTTTCAGTGATAATGGTCACCAGGACAAATCAGGTGGGCGAAATGGGAACACAGACAGCCCTTAAAACCTGACAGTTGTTCTAACACCTCTCCACTCCATCCAAAAACATTTGGCTTCAGTTGCATTTGAATATCTATTGCATTATAAACTGTCGTGCAGGCACGTACCGCTCTCCACGGCTCGTTTCAGGTTATCCAGCATGCAGTCGTAGTGCACCCTGCACAAAACCTTCTCCTCCACCAGAGCAAACTCCTCCCCTGTGGACAGCTGCCTCTTGCACGAATAGCAGGCAAAGCACGCCAAGTGGTAGACATTACCCTTCGCCCGCCTCACCCAGTCTGTGGAGTGGATGTGCCTGCCGCAACGCGAGCATCGCGTTCCATATCGCCTACATGATGGAAAGAAAAAGAGAGGGTGCGGTACAGTTAATTGGCAATTATTAAGCAAGACTGAATAAGTATGCAACGCACAACATTTGAATTGCATGCACTACTAATAATAGAGAGCAACCTACAGTAGAGTCCAATCAAAATTTACCTTTTACAGAACTAGTTGGTTATTATGGGTGTACTGAACCAGACAGTCTGATGTTGGGGTGAACATGTACTTTTAAAAGGAGTCTGATAACATAGGCATCAACTAACAGCAGATTTTAAAGTAGGCCAACTATGGACAAGATTTTTGAGTCTAAAGCCAAACGCCAGCCAACACTTTTTGCAATTACAGCAAGGATTTTAATATATATATATATATATATACACACACACAAGGTTTAAACCATATGAGTAAATGGCACCATATCAGCAATTTATGGTTGTCCCCAATTCGCAAAAGCCACTTTTCCTGGACAGCTTGGCCTGTTAGAGGAAATAGGAAAAAAATGGATCTAATAGCAGGCTCAGTAGATGATTATATAAGATTTATAAAGCGCCAACAGTTTGCTATGGAGAGACTGCTCCAAATGTACATTTTTATGTTGTCTATTGTTCCACTGAAGTATAAGTCTTGGTGTTTATAGTAGAGTCATTAGCACAGTTTATTGTGCTAACGCAGCAATAGGAATATGAAAAATAAAATTACAAAAATAAAAATTCCTACAGCATATAATTGTGAATTACATGCAGCACAGCCCTCCAAACATCAGTGCCTAAGCAGCCTCTGAGGAGCCCATTAGGCATTTGACTTCTGAGACATATCCCACCCACCCCTGCCGTAATCACTGGATTGCATGGATGGTGTCCCCAGGGGATGTGGTCTGGGAACAAGAAGTTCCCTAGTAAAAACTTACTCCTCCAATATGGCAGCCACACATTAGCACAGAGAAGTGGATGACAAAATGGCCCAAGGCTAAAGGGCAGATGCAGACTGCTTCCCATCTGCACTATATCCAACCAAATTGCCTTGCAAAGCATGAGCCTAAGCTCACTAGAATTAAATTTGGGCTAGCTCCAATATTTTAGGCTATCCAAGGCACTAGGCCCAGGGTTTGCATAACTTTATATTTTCACAAAACTAAAAAAATAAATGCAACCCAAACGTTCTAACAAGCACAGCGATACATAACCTGGCATTCATCTACACATTCATACGGATACATTGATACAGATTTCACACAGACAAGTCGTACCTGAAATAATCGAGCTTGCAAAAAATATCTTTGTCTTTGATATAACAGCTTGTGTGTCTTCCCAGTGAAGTCCGGCATACACTACAGGACAGACAGCGCACGTGCCAACACAAGTCATTTACCTGCCGGGGACAAAAGGAGACCGTTATACAAGGCCAGGGGATAACACAACCATCTGAGAAGCCCAAGTGAGAGATCGGCTTTTCTCATCCCCCAATTACTATTTCTACATAAATGTCACTAATATCAAAAGCAAAAAAACATTTTCACAAATGGAATAAACGTGCAATTTTAGGAACCAGTCAGAGCATCTCTAAAACAGACATTTAAAGCAGAACTTCCTCTGAGCACAGGTCGTCCTGGACCCAGCCTGGGACAGTGAAAGGAAAAGCACAGTGGTAAGATTCTCTCTCCATCACTCTGCTGTCTACACCTATCAGTATGCTTCTTGTGAGAACATGAACTGATTGGCTCCTTGTTTTGCTTCTTCCTCTCACCCTTTGAGCCCTGCAGTACAGAACAGCAAGAGTAAAGTTAAGGAAATTTCCACTTTTGCAGGAGAATGTAAAAGTTTCAAGGCCTGTAATGTAAGCGTTTTCGGGGTCCCTGGTTCAAATCCCGGCCAGGGAATGTAGTCTGCGTGGAGTAAAGCCACTCCCTGTGTTTTCGTGGGTTTACTCCAGCTACTCCGGCTTCCTCCCACACTCCAAAGACATGCTGGTAGGATGCTTGGCTCCTGTCTAAATTGGTCCTTGTATCTGTGTAAGGAACTTCAGACTGGAAGCTCTGAGGGCAGGGACTGATGTGAACGAATAGTCAGTTACCCACAGTGCCCGACATGCTGATTTCAGTAACCAACAGTACTCCCCATCAATAACTGCAACAGAAGAATGTAAATGTCACTAAACTATCTACGCGAGTGTCTGCCTGATCTGTCACAAATCCCAGTCTGGCTACAAGAACCAAACCAACCAATACTGCCAGAATTGCAAGATTCTCCACAGACTGAACAGACCTTCACAAATAATCATGGAGAAGAGGATTTGAAGAGGACCTGTTTAAGCCCAAGACTCCTTGGGAATGCAGAAGGTCAATAGCCATAGAATTTAAATGCCATCCGTCAAGCTGTAATTAGAAAACTGGCTTAAAAAACAAAACAAAAAATAAACCACCACCACCTCGATTTAGCTAAGCAAATAGGGAAGAGCCTTGCAGTGTTATGATCTGGGGTTGCTTCAGTTGGTAAGGTCTAGAGGTTCAGCAATGTTATATCCCCCAAAGAAATGAGGTCAGCTGCCTTCCTGAATATACCGAATGATCAGGTTTTTCCATCAATGGATTTTTTCTCCCCTGATGGCACATTGGGCATATTCCAAGATGACAATGTCAGGATTCATTCTGCTCAGATTGTGGAAGAGTGGTTCAGAGAGCATGAGACATCATTGTCACACATGGATTGGCCACCACAGAGTCCAGACCTTAACCCCCTTGAGAATCTTTGGGATGTGCCAGAGAAGACTTTACACAGAGGTCCGACTCTCCCATCATCACTACAAGATCTTGGTGAAAAATTAATGTAAATCTGGACAGAAATATATTCTGTGACGTTGCATAAGATTATCGAAACGATGGGACGCTGAATGTCTAAATGCTAAAAGTGGTCCAACAAAATATTAAGAGTGTGTGACTTTTTTGGGCAAGTCAGTTTACAATGCAAAGAGCAGAAGGGACACATCTTTGATGAAAAGTTTTCTGCAGTTTGCATGCCAACTTTCTAAAAGTTTCTATGGAGCTTTCCGCAAAGGAGTCCAAGATATTCGCAAAAGGCACTGAAGCTGCCACTTTTTACTGCTTACAATTTGGCATTGGCAGCATAAATTTGATTTCTCCAGTCTGCCATCCTCATAAATAGGATATGAATATATAGCAAATGTTGACCATTCCTGTAAAAGACAACCTTGGCCCCAGTACCTCTCCAGCCTATGACTCACTACTTTTCCTTTTTATTGTGGATGGCAGGAAGAGGAAGGATTTACTTATTATACCACCTTCTGCCATATTATAGAAAAACGGTGAGCAAAGTCTGCTTTGCTGCCACCCTCACACCTTGCTGTGAACCTCTTCGTGAATGCTATACATGGCATGTAATCTTCAGGCACAATGACTTGATTCAGGAAAATGTTGAAATCTAAGAATGTTTTTAAAAAACTTACATTGGTACATCTTGATTACATCTAATTCCTCATATTTCACATCTAGATGGCCACTGGGGATGCAGAAATTCACTACAGTAGTACATACAGTTTACGCTGGTCCATCTGGGTGCTAGTTGAGCAACTTGCCATCTATATACTAGAGACAGGAAATTGCTCCATCAGCAACCCCTCCATTCAGAGAACATCTTGGGTTTTTTTTTCCATTAATACAAGGTATTCTTTGATTGGACAGTGTGGAGCTCGTGACATCTACCCCCTCCTCAGTCTCTTCCAATCAGGGAATGTCTTGTATTCACCGAAAGAGATATAAGACATTCCCAGAAAGGCGAGGTGCCAAGCATGTGACCTGTGTTCAATATATAGACGGAAAGTTACTCGATCAGCATCCGGAAGAGACCCTCACTGACTATTATAGTGAATTTCTGCATCCCCAGCAGCCATCTGTTCGAGATATGAAGAATTATATGTAATCAAGCTGGCCCAATGGAAGCTTAAAGTGACACTAAACTCCAGAGTTAAATCCTAAAAATACATTCAGGCACCTTAACTACAGCAATGTATCTTAATTGTGTATCATTCGGTTGTAGATCCTCAAATCATCTCTGAATTGGTGCCGACACTGTCCTTCCTTCTGGAGGGTGGCTACTTTTGTTCCCCATGGTCCCTGTGTGTGTTGTAAAAGAAGTCACCGCTCCAAGCTCACTCCCGTGATGGATTTCAATCTCATCCGCCATTGCAGTCTGGGTGAGTATAAAACTGTTATTTTAGCTTGCTATACAAAACAATATTTTATTTGCCAGTAATTCTTCTTTAATATCAAATATTTGTTTAAAAAGATTATTCTCCTTAAAAATGTATATAAAATAAAAAGGGGCAAAGTGGGAATGTTCCTTTAAGTAAACATTAGGGGCTGAAACAAAGCTTTAAAATATGCGATATTCTGCATTACCACAAACCGAATAAATGAATTCATAACAACGCATGTTAAAGCAGCACATAGCAAACGAGAAGTGTGAACACGGGGCATACACACTTTGCAAGAATGCAGATAAAAAAAAAAAAAACCTCCAAACTTAATCTTGTAGAGACTTAGAAGCGCTCCTCCATTGCACGGATCCTAAGCTCAGTCTCCACAGGTTAGTAATGCTTTGCATCTCTTTAAAATTATGCTGAAGTGGAGAATGCAAGACACAAAACCCACAGAATACGACTTTATCGGTCAGTAAATCACATCCGAAGCCGGCAGTATTACAAATAAACACTCTGCAAGCCACAACAAGAAATCACGCAGATCCTGTTCTGTCCAAGAATGACAGATATAAGTTCCAGGAAACAAGCAATGATTACGGGAGGCAGACCCGCGAGCAGCAAATATTTATTGCCATTAATGTCCAATCCACACGGGAAAATAGATCAATTTTGGCATTACTGAAACGCATGCCTTCATGTGCATTTTATTAAAGATTGTGACCAGGTGTATTTATATTTTACAGCTGGAATAACACACCTTAGGCTCAATTCACAAAGCTAAACACCAGGAGAAGTTACTTCTATTCTAGAAAGTGACAGTGATTTTCCACCAATGTCCAATTAAGTTTGAAAACTACAGTCACATGGCGAAGTTAGAGAGCCTTATCCTTGTGGTAATGCTTTGTGAATTGAGCCTCATGCCCGCTCCACCCAGAATCCCAATTCCCCCCCCCCCCAAAAAAAAATACAACACCGTCCTGAGCGCCTTCATGTGACCTAAAGCTGGGGCAGCCTAGATCACATGTACGCCATTCACCATTAAGCTGCCCATACACCTTACAACCATCACACGACTTTCGTTGTACAATGGTTGTAAGTTAATTAAAATCTTGTACGATCTGCCCATCTTGGACAGGCCGAGCGTACTTGCGATCATCGCAAGCCCTCCCCGCTAAGGGGAGGGCTTCCGATGATTCCAATGGTGAGCCGGCAGTCCCGTTCGGCATTTGTCTTCCGAGCACGCCACTAACCCGTGAAAATTGTACGATTTTCGGCAGGTTTTCAAGCGTGCTCGGAAGACAAAAGACGTGAGACCGTACAGTATAAACGGTCGTACCCCTTCCATACACCTGCCGATTATCACACGATCACCCGTACGATAATCGGCAGTCGCATGGGCACCTTTAGAATCCACATACAATATGCTTATTAAATCTTAATTACAAACTGTATGGACACAAGGTTGTAGATACAGTAATACACTGAAAACATTAAGAGCTTAGGATAGAACACCTCCATCTCCGTGGCCATGCTAGAATGTGAGACCATACTGGAATTTAATGTAATCTCCAAACAGGACCAAGAACAAGCTACTGCAAAAAAAATAAAAAATACAGGGGGATACATTTTATATGCCATTCTTATAATTGCATATGTACCAGTATAAAAAAAAAACAGTTATGGTTTCCTTTAAAAAAGATTTACATTTTGAATACATTATTTCTGAAAAGGGCAAACAAAAGTTATATTCAATCAGGGACTAGTCCTTAAAGGTAGTGAGATTTATCAAGTTTTCATTACTAGTTAGTGACTAGAGGGCAGAAAAAGCATATTCTTATGCTCATGAACAGGATTTACATTTTTAATAAGCAGCAAATTGCCCAAAAATTTAGCATCATCTTGTGCATTGCAAACAGGGAATGGACAGCAAAACACCATTCACCATTTAACAGAACATCAATAGCAAAAACAGAGCACGCAGAATAGATTCAGAGGCATCTTTTTCCAGCATCGCCCCATTTACATAATGCCAAGATTTTTTTGCATACATTTTCCAGGAAAATGAAACATTCTGGTAGCAATATAAGTAGTCATTTTTTCCAGCTGATGCACAAATCCAGACATCCACCATCCCTAGTCTATTTCACTGTCTAAAAGGTGGTCTCAGAACAGACAAACTGTAGGAACAACCCAGTAGCAATTTATTTCCATTTTTTATCATTTCAAAGATCCAGAAAATCAAGTCAAATACTAATCTGGTACAACATTGGCTTTAATATTTTTTTTTTACTTTTTAAAATAAAAAAAGTTACAATTAATGAGAAATTTGGGATAGAAAAGCAAATTGTCTGTGATGCCACGTGCATTCCCTTAACCCCCCCACCGCCAAAAATTAGGCATCAAACAATTGTATACTCAGACATGATAACACATCTGATCCATGCCACAGAGCAAATGCGCTGTGCAAATTTGTAGGTTGCATCCAAGCAGAAACCCAATCTTTAACGAAATATCCAGATTTGTGACAAATTTCAAACTTTGCAATTTGTCAACAATATTTGCCACACACACGAAAACCAGCAAGATTTTATACTACTGTATGTTCCACCCTACCGGAGCCTCCAGCAAAAGTCCTGTTTATTTCTGCATGCTGGAATGTACGTGGATGCCAAAAAGGGAAGAAGGTTGGAATTATTTTTACATTTCTTCTTTGGAGTGTGGAAACTCGCTTATGATAAATTGTTACATTTGCCTATTTGTGCGGTGAAGGGGAATGTGTGATCAGCACAGTGAGCGAGTGTTTGAAAAGCACAAGTATCGGCTAGGGGACCAACTTGTGATTGCAACAGTAACACTGTGCTGCATGGTATTGCAACAGACTATGCAGATATAGATTTTAGAAGTACAATACAAGTCCTCTGCACAGTCTTTTCACTGAAAAAAGCTGCTTGGGGAAAAAATTTATTAAAAAAATAAATAAAAAAACAAAAGTGTATCAGTTTCTTTTTTGGAGTTAGCTACAGTTCAGGTGATGCAAATAAGGGGAAAAAACTCCAGCAGCCTGAAAGCACAGAACTGATACGCAAAGCAATTACAGAAATAATCTTTTAACAGATTTAACCCAACATTTATAGTTTTACCAATTTATAAAGTACTCACAATTTGTATCACTGTACAGCGCAAGAATATAATAATAGGAGCAACAAGACGAACATACAGATATGTGAAACTCGCCTCATAAGGAAGGAGTACAAGCTAACAGATCCCAATCGTAAGGGAGATTAATGGAGCAATTGCTCAATTAATAAATAAAACAAAATTGTAAATTAGTTATATTCCCATCTCGGTTAAGAGGGGGCTTGTAAAATTGGGTGGTGCTCAAAAGAGAGGGGATTATGTACCCTTTAATTAAGTCCAAAAGGGTTAATACATGAAACCAAAACATGTGCAGAGGCGGTCGGCAGTGAAGCCCACATGGTAACGAGAGAATAACAAGTCTAGTACACATTTACACCCAACAAATGTAGATTTCTAGCTGCTTAATATCAGGGCAAGCTGCATGAAAATGTCAATATACACAGATTATTCTTTGTCAGTCAAATTGACTTCAAGGTAAACCAAATATGACAAACTTGGTAATCGGTAGTCTATTCAGAATGGCTTTTAGTAGGCAAAAAACCCCAAGCAGTAATCTCTTCAGGATGTAAAACGGAGCCCTCTAAAACAGCTCCACAAACTGTGCATAGTATCCTTTTTTTTTTTTTAAAAGAGAAACTCCATTTAATAAAAAATTATATAAATTAAATATAAAAAGCTACATCAGCCAATTTGTAATTTAAAGATTAATAGAAAATAACCCATTTTAAACTGAAACCGCTAATTTTTTTTTCAATGCAATATGGCAACCAGAAATGTCATTTCCTGTTTTTGTGAATGGCTGACAGATTTTGACAGACGTCTGCACTAAGATAGAAGCAAAAACTTTTAGACACCGTTCACACTGGGGCGGTTTGGCCGCACGGATACGCCCACATGAACAATCCCATACATTGCTATGGAGACCGTTCATGCGACCATGCGATCAGAACCGCGACCCGCCCGTACTGCTCCCTGCACTATTATTGTTAAGTTGATCAGCGCGGTTTGGGGCTTTAATTGCGTTTCAGTGCTGAAACACAATTAAAAACTCCCAAAACCTCCATTGCAAGATCAGCGTGGTAACCGCACTGTTCCGCAACCGCCCTGGTGTGAATAGGAATTTCATTTTTGGTTATACACTCTCTAAGGGTTCATTACTACTAAAGGGATGCCGACACTGCAACTTTCCTCATTACAACACAGTAAGTGCACCAGCTGATTATCATAAACCCAGACCCTCCCATTCAGGGATCAGTTTGGAAAGGACATGGCGAAACAAACAGCTATTTCTTCAGGACAGAAAACAGATAGGAATCTGTAACAAAGTTTGTTAAAAACCTTGCACTGTACATCGATCCCCCAGACGGGATTTCATTTTTCTCAACAAAAGTAGAGTTACCCTTTAAAGCAGCAGTTCAGCACAAAGGGACAAGACTTTAAGAGACTGGAGTATTGAACAGCTGCTCCAGAAAATAATGTGCTTAGAAGCAGTAGATGCTCAGCACATTACAGTGCAAAACATGAAACAAAAAATACAAATACAAAAGTGAAAAAAAAAAAAGTTGTGCAATCAAGGACATTTTTTACGAAGCAGCAGAATGGAAGTTGTTTTGTCTTGTGTCTAAAAAAAGACAAGTAATGGAGCCCCAACTATATACACCCCATCATCACTTGGATGCATCAGGAAAAAAAAACTCCACATTTTGTATGACATCTGACTAGGAGCATCTGACCTGCACTCTCATTTTAAGCACCAGCACATCAAAACATTCCTTATTCCCCCTTTTTATATAAAGTTATATCATTCAACACTCTAAAAAGCATTGTCTCATAATGTCTGCCTGACACCGTGGAAAATGCCCCATAAAAGGTCCACCTAACCCCCCTGTGCTTTATCAGGACACACCTTCCACTGAAGAGACACTAGAGAATTGGTCCATAGGGTCCACCTAACCCCACCATGCTGTATCAGGATACAGCGACTACTGAAAAGAGACTTTATATGCCTTATATGAACCACAAACCTGATTAAACTAGTTCTCGTGGTAATCTAATGACTTACCTTGAGCAGGTATTTATCTACAATCTCCATGCCACAGCTGCTGCAGATACTTTTTCCTTGAGTAAGACCAGAAGATGGCATGGAGTGCGGAGAGGAGGAGGACCCTGGGGACAGAAGAGGTGATGAACATGAATCTTCATCCAGAGCAGCACCCGGACTTCCTTGGAGCTAGAAGTAACACATCAACATAATGATTACACACCACGTATTCCAGGAATGTCATATTTATAAGCCGACTGCAATGATACTGACACAATGTACATCTGCCATTTACCTTCAGCATGCCAACTACATTCCAAATCCCATCATTGACTACATTCACCCCTCTGCAATTTAGTGGAATGCCACAGGACTTTAGTGGAGTGCCACAGGACTGCTGTTCATCTTGGAGTCTGGCAATGCCTAGATTCAATCAGTAATAACTATAGGAATGTCTGGTTAAAAAAAACCTCACAGATTTCTACCTTCTATTGTGATGCGAGGACACATGAAATCAACGCCCGTCAACTCGCAGAAATAAAATGTGTAAACACCGGAGTAATAAAACAAAACCAGTTCGAAATCTTCCACTAGAAACACTTGTTCAAATGACTACTTCCTCACATTGGAAAGGTTTTCTCACTTCCTGCTGAGTCTACAGGACAGGAAGTGAAGGGACAGCATACATGGGAAAAAAAAAATACAAATATGATATACCAATACCGGTTTTTCGGTATCAAGTACTGATATTGTGCTTTCTGCACCCGTCAATACCGGTGCTTCCGCTGGCATGGAGCCAACTTCCCGGGCAATTAGGAAGCCGGTAATAACATGCTGCTCGGCTTCCTGAGTGCCCGGGAAACCAGTTCGATGTTGTTTGGCTGCGAAACCGGCTTCACAGCCAATCAGCATCGAGCTGGCTTCCCAGCCAATCAGGAAGGCGGCTTCATGTTCCCCTACAGTATTGGAAAATTTTAGTGGTGAGGTCCCACGCGTGCGCTCTAGTGCTCTGCCACGCCGTCATATTTCTAACATCAAAATACAAAAGAGATATCCTGCCCATGTCTGAGGACACAAGTATGGCGGTGGGAATCTACCAAGCAGCCTTCTCTCACCACCCCCTGCACCTGTCACTGCTCACCATACCTGCACTCCCCCCTTCCACCAAAGCACCGGTACCCTGCGTCTAACCACGGCACAACCACAGCCTGGCTGTCCCTGCCCACCCCCACCCCTTTCATTCATTGGATTTCAGTGCTTTCAATCATGGAGGTTCAGCATCACATGTGAGCATTACCACAGCTTCCTATTTTCAGGCAGCTATGCAGAGCACCCTGCCGGCCTCACACCAGTCAGGATCATCGATGCCCCGTGCGCAGGCCCGTTCATCCATGGCCCGGCTAAACCTCATCCATGGCCCGGCTAAACCTCATCCATGGCCCGGCTAAACCTCATCCATGGCCCGGCTAAACCTCATCCATGGCCCGGCTAAACCTCATCCATTGCCCCGTGCATGGCCCGGCTAAGCCTTAACTCTATTATATGGTTAGCATTTTCTGAGTCACAGACCAGCCCTCATAGTACACATAGCCTATACACCCCACCAATAAAGCACCCCAAACTCCATCCTGCACTTTTATAAGGCTATGTATACTAATAGAAGTTGCCCTTTAAAGTTGACATCCATTGAACTCTGGGCTGTTTGGATGAAGGCCTTTAGTACGTTGGAGTCTCCGAGATAATGTAAGGGGAATTTTATCAAAATTGGAGCAGACAAATTCTGGAGCTGTTGCCCAGGGCAACCAATCAGCTTCTCTCTTCCATTTGTTCAGTTATTAAGGGTAATTAAGATTTAAAAATAAAAGAGAAGCGGATTGGTTGCTATGGGCAACAGCTCCAGATTTTGTCTGCTCCAGCTTTGATAACTTCCCCCTGTGTGCGTTTGATCTGTATATACTTCTGCTGTGTTATTAGGATGCATCTCCTTCTGAACTACTCCACCCCCATCCATTCTTCAGATTTTGGGAACGGGGGGGGCGGCAGGTTCTAATGGTTGTTTTGATCTGGTTTATAGAACGGTCTCCGGTGCACCTTTTTCTGGTTTTAAAATTGAATAAACAGAATTAAAAAATAAATAAAGCAGCTCACATACACTGCCGCCACCCCCCAATATGGCAGCCCATTCACCAATTCACCACATACACAGCCGGGAACCCTCTAATATGGCAGCCCATTCACCACACACACGGCTGGCACCCCCCAATATGGCAGCCCATTCACCACATAAAAAGCCGGCACCCCCCAATATGGCAGCCCATTCACCACATAAAAAGCCGGCACCCCCCAATATGGCAGCCTACTTACCACATACACAGCCGGCACCCCCCAATATGGCAGCCTACTTACCACATACACTGCAGCACCCCCCAATATGGCAGCCCCCTCCCCACATACACTGCAGCACCCCCCAATATGGCAGCCCACTCACCACATACACTGCAGCACCCCCCAATATGGCAGCCCACTCACCACATACACAACAGACATGCCCCCAATATTGGCAGACCACATACACAGCCGGCACCCATCAATATTGCAGCCCACTCACCACATACACACCCGACACTCCCCAATATGGCAGCTCGCATACACAGCTGACAGACCCCCATTACGGCAGCCCACTCACCACATACACAATATGTCAGTCCCCTACACACATACAGCCAACACCCTAATATGGCAGCTAAAATACCACACACATACTC